GATCAAGGTTTTTTTCAATCCATCCCTATTTTCACATCTGTGTAGATGATGGACAGGGAGTATCTCATTAATCATATTTTATATTGATAAATTAATTCAAACAATAAGACTTGGGAAGCATTGTAGATGATAAAATATGTGTAGTTCACTTACGAAGTAGAATTATTATATGTGTAGTTCACTTAATAGGTAGGGTTATTACCTGCTAACAAGGTCACGCTTCTCCTTCCACTTTAAAAGTCTAGGAAATGGTCTTTGACTTGCTGATGAAGAAGCCTTCCTCATTCTGCATCCTACTCATGTCATGCTGAGATCTAAATCTCTACATGATTTAGGATGAATCCAGTCCACTCCATAAAACAGAAGGCGACTTCTTGAGGTTTAAAAGGAATAAAAGATTAGCGAAATCTAGGGCCAAAAACGGTATGATATTTTAAGATAGTCTAGATGAAAAAAAGAAGCCAAACAAAGAGGTAATCATAAAAATGTAAAAAGTTCAAACTATGAAAAATAGAACTGGCAGCTGTTTGCTTAATGTTCTAGGTTTTGACAGGTCAAAGCACTGTTTTGCTGTGTTTTTTCACCAATGGATGAATGAAATAGTTACAATCAATCAATATCAGATGTGTTCTTTCTGTTTGCTATATATGTAATTTTCTGAACTCGACACTGGAGAGAACATCTTTGGGGCAATATCAAATTCTAATGTTTGTCTTTTAAACTGCTGATCCTCTTCTGCAGTAAGGTATTAGCAGCCATTGCCTGCCTTGCAGTTTTTTGGTATGGTATCTTTCACAAAAACAAGTCTATTGGCAGGAATGGTGGTGGTCATGCTCTCTACAGTGGTGCCATCAGTTTGAAAACATGGAGGATAGCCAACCTGTTTGGGTGTGAAAGAAACTGAAATGGAAATTTCAGAAAAAGGATTTGAAATGCGCTGCTACTTGGCTGGGATAGCAGTGCTGAGTGGCTTCCGAAATGCCACAGCCAAACCCTAGCAAGTAACATGATCTGTCATTCTGCTGGGAGCAGCGCTACTCAGCACACTGCAGTCTCCTGTCATCATTTTTAAAAGGAATTATTGCTCGTGAAACAGAATTGTAAAGATTCCCGTTAAAGTGAATTGAGCACATTCAGGTGTACAGTTAGCCTGGCGTCCTGTAAAATGCATTACTGGTGTTAAGTAAAGGGTAGACAGCAGTTTAAGCTACCAAGATAAAACCTAGTTCAGATAGCTGGTGCTTTTGAGGTACCGTTGTAGCGCTTGTTGCACATTTACATTGTCTGCCTTCCCCTCCTCAGACTTTACACCTCACGATTTGGACACTCAAATTCATAAGTGACCCCAAAGCGTTCTCCCTCTCCCCTTCACAATATATTTTGCGCTTTTATCTTTGGTTTTCGAAGCTTTTGAAATACATTACCTACATATTGACAAGCTCTTTTCTGCATTAGTAAAGTTTGATACTCAAAAGCAATATCTGATTCTTATACTATAATTTTAATGAAAAAAAAACCCTGAGATTCTTACAGTTTTCTGATTCCAACAGTTGGGATTTAAGGCATTGTGTTAAAATTTGAAAAACTACAATTTGCCATGTGAGCATGATATGTACAGAGAATGCAATGCAATCCACAATACTGATATGGAGGCAGGAACAAGGCAAACATACAACCTGAAAAGGGGAGGGGAGTTTAGTTTGCCCTTCTTTCTCCCTCTCTCTCCTTCCTAAAAGTATAGAAAGACCTTCCCCTTCCTCTATTTGTTAACAGTAAAAGCAGCGGCTGCACAGAGAGGGTATGATTATGGGCTCATGTTATTAGAAATGAAAAGGAGCAACGAACACCGTCAGAACATCTTTTTTATTGATATGCACACCTAAACATGGCATTAAAAAACTCAAGAACATGCAAGATGGAGACAAGATGCATAACCATCTGTTGAATTAATATCCAAAAATCCTAGTTTGGAACTAGTGGAACGTGTAGCTTATTTCTATGTTTCATTACCATTCATAATTTCAGCCAATGAAATTTTTATTTCCCCAGCATTTTATATCTTCTCAAATGTGTTTGCAACCATTCAATTTCTATTTGTTTGTAATTTCAAATATATAAAATGACCCTAAATCTTCTTTTCTTGCCCTAGCCATCTTATTTTGGAACAGCCAACAAAAAGAGCAGCAGCAACAAAACAAAAGAATCTTTTTGGATCTAAGGTCTGTTTGCTTTGAAAAAGATCAGAGTGTTGGTGCATCAAAATGTTGCTGGATCAGCTGTCTTTCTCCTTTCCAAAAGAGATAATTCTGAATTAGGAGGCTTGCAAAACAGATCAAAGGGAAGAATTTTGTCCAGGCTACTTCTATTGCAGGTTCAGCTAGTAACCATAGAGTCCAGTTCGGATCTAAGACAAGATAAATTTCATTACTTTCCGTGCCTTGTTTAATGAGGTCTTGTGATTGTTCACTGCACATCTGAGATCAAAAGTGTCTCTGGTAAATCCAGCCAAACAAGAGAGCTGGTCACACCTAGCGTGGTTCAGATAAGGTAAAAGGGAAGAGGGTGATAAACAACACAACAAAATGTAGTTTAATGATTGAGGACATTGTCACTGTGGATTGTTCATGAATAATCTAATTTGATTTACAATAATTCAGTATAAATATAATAATTTTTCAAGGAAGTGTCTCGTCGTTTGTAGTTTAGCATGAAATATATAGCACGTGGAGAATGATTTTAATTCAGTAAAGTCATATTTGTGCAGCAACAAAAGAATAAGAAAAAACATGTCTGAAATAGCGGTAGGGATGTACTGAAGGAGTTCTCAGCTTTGAATTGCAGGTCAACTAGAAGGAGTGATTCCCATACTCAGTTCTCTGGTAGGCGCCAGGTTGAGGTGCTTTTCATATCTTCCTTTCAGTCTCAAAGCATAATTTTTTGTGAGGAAATGCTTCCTGACTTTGAATGTGCTAAACTACCTCAGCCACAGGTAACATTCCTGAGACTTATAAAAATAAACCGTCAGAGTGAAGTGGTGAATATATAGGCCAGTAAGTGTTTGGGGACATTTCTCAAGAGGTGATACTTTCAGGCTCAGATTTGTCCTACCTGTGGTCGTGCAAGTAAGGAAAGTGGGGCTGCACAGTCTATGACTTTCTATATTTTCAGTCACAAACATGAGTGTTTGAAACAAAACCTGCTTTAGAAATCTGTTTGGCAGGCCCTGTTATCTCCCTTCTTCAGCATGGGTAAATTGGCTAAAATTAGTCAGGGGAAACAAAGATTTCTCAGTCCCTGGCACCCCTTTTTACGGGTAAATGTTCTTGGTTTATATACTTTTTCAGAGACTGAAGGGAATCTTTTTGAGAGAGCTTCATGGTAAAATGCTACCAGCGGAGCAATAGAAATAAAGCTGTAGTGTCCTGAATATAGTCTAATAGCTTTCTTTTTATTTTAACATACTTAAAACTAATACTGAAAGTTAGCCCAATTGCAGTCTCCAATGTAGCATTGTTTTTAGCTATTAGCATGTGGTTTTTAAAGCTCTCTTTGGATGAAATGCAAGGCCCACATCGTGAAGTCAGTTGTTAGGCAGGATATAATTTAGACTTCAGCTCCTCTTCTCTGTTTGAAATAAAATGATTACATTGCAGGAGAGCCTAAGGGGAGATTAAAAGTTTTATATCAAAAGTTGAATATTTTCTTTTGTTGTACATTCTTCTTTTAAAGAAAACGGTATTCATTTAAAATACTGTGTGTTCTGATGTACTTGAAAAGGCACTACTCTGAATTAAAAAAAAATTCATAAAGTATGCATGTATGTGAGAAGAAGATGGTAATCTTCATTTGAGTGTTTAGTCAAAGGTTTTTAACTCAACCCATTCTGCTTTGTGTCTAGAATGAGACAGTTATCTGTAAAGCCGTATAGTAACATCATAAATAGCAGATGGCCTGCAGTGTTTAGTGAGCAGCAATTAAAGTGACAAAATCTCTTGGGGCTCCTCTCCACAGAAGGTTATAAAGCTATATTATAGCCTGCATTCTAGCCAACAGAGCCTTGCCTGCAAAAGTGGTCCTTGCCTGTCTTTAAACTGTCTGTAAGTGGTTCCAGGCAATAGATCCACATAATTACAGTTCTAGTAACTCCTGTGATGCCTCTCATTCTTTGCATCCCAAAGTTATCCAAGGGCAAAAGTCACTTGTAGATTACAAAGTTGTATAGCTCACATGGGTGCTAAAACAGATGGAATAGTCCGTTATCAGGTAGAGTGTGATATGAGCAACAGGATAAAGTTATCGTCCAACAAGGTCATCTCACTTTAACCGCTGGCGTCAGTGAGACCATTTTTGCCAAGGATGCTCTGGGCACATTTATAAGAAGGCATTATCTATTCAAGGGAATTCATGGAAGCCTTCTGATAACAAATATATGCGCAATGAAGCCTTTTTGTAAGAGCTCACCATATCAGCCAAATGGCCATAGATCTTTTTTCAGAAGCTATAAGAGGGTTCTAAAAGTAAAACTATTATAGTTCAGTAACCTACCTTCTTTCATGCTTGTGAAAATGAAGAATGCCAAAGCTGTTAATGTTCCTGAGGAGGGTGGTCACTGAACTGGCAAATTTTCTTGTAATTTTATGACAGAAAAAAAGGGTATTTTCCAGTATATTATTATGTAAAAAAATAAAAAAAGGTTTACTCCAGCTGTCAACATTAATGGGCACTACTATCCCAAGGCACTGTTAACACAGTTTTGTACTCATTTGCCTCGTGTTAGTGGTGCTTATTTTCAGATGTGGATACCTGACTACAGGAAGCAGGTTAACACCATTCAACTTCCCTCCATACCTCCCATTAAATAGACAATAATAAATATTGGTGTCCATTGCAGACTGAAGAAGAATTTGAGCTGATAGTATAGAATGGTAAAGCTCTGTGTTCAATTACCAATATCATATCTCTTGCAAAGGCAATGAATTGGTAATGTGCTATTATTCCAGATTTCCAGAAGAACTGAGGTGGCATGGGATTTAAGAAGACGGTTAATGGCCATTGAAGAGGAAGACAGTTTATCGTATCCTCCACTGAATGTGACCAATGGAAATTACACATGCATCCTTTTTTATGCTAATAATTTCAGCCTCAAAGCCAATGATTCACTTTCTATAGATTTGACAAATATAACGTTTGTAACCCAGGACGTGGACATTTCCTCCTCTGAGTGCTCAGACATCAACACAACGTGAGTAGAACAAGAAAATTTGTATCATAACACATGTGATTGTGAAAGCTAATGAGAAATGGTGCAGTGGCAACAACTTAATACTAATTTAATTCTTTTCTTCTGAAGCATCCAGAATAAAAATACTAAATTGGATTTTCTTAGAAGATAAGATGTGAGGCAAGAACACAAAAATTTTGCAGATACAGCCTGTTTTTACTAGTTTTTCCATTTTATAGTTCTGAATTCCCAGCTTGTTTATAAGAAGGCGTTTGGCCCAAATAGGTTTCTCTTACAATCCCGTGAACCTCCACTGGCATTAGGGGAGATGATGATTTCACTGTAGAATTCCCTTGAAGTGAAGTATTGCCATTTCCTAGGGTAGTAATTCAGCTGGAAGTATGTTAATGAGGCATGGTCTCTCTTTCCTTTATTTTGCAGAACTTGCTCTTAAGTAAAAAAATATTTCTGTAGAAATGTTTTGTTGTACTTTTTGAGAACTGAACCTTTGCTGTATGACTTTTGTAATTGCCTGCTGATTTAGAATATTCCGTTTGACTGAAATGTCACAGTGATCTAATTAAACATGATCTAATTAAACAATGATCTAACATTAAAAATATATTTCTTTCTCTTAGACTGTCATTAAAGTACACAAAGCCAGTGAGTGGAATCAACAGCCTGGAGATAAGGTAACTTATGATTTATTCTTAAATAGATCTTTGTGAGATACAAAGTCTGTTTGTAAATTAGGACAAAAACAGGGGAGGAGACAAGTGAAAATATCTGCAAAATTATTATTTTGTTTCTGTGTTGAGGAATTACTCTACAGTAAAACAATGATGCAGTATTTATATAGATAATTTATAAACATGCTCAGGTAAACTTTGAAAAAGTGGTATGGGTAAACACTCATGTGAGATATTGGCATATGAAACATCCTGTTGCTACTGCTGCTAATAGGATCAGATCTTAATTCCATCTCAGGGAAATGCAACTGTGATTGGTAAATAGTTCTAGTAGTCGAAGTCTAGTCGTATGGCCAGGGTTGTATTTAGCCCTGCTGTGGATTACCAGTGTATTCTGTTGGAGCTAGCTTGTATCTAATGAGGGATGCAGAAACTCATAATTTTTCTGCTCCATGGATGATGGCAAGACCAGGCTTCTCCTATCGTGAGAAGAGGGAAGAAAAATTAAGGAAAAGAAAGACCTGGATGAAAAACAAAATAACTTCTGAATTTGAAACAGTTACCTTAGATTTTGATAGCTGCAGCAGGAATAAGATCAAATGTGACAATAGTGCACACATCTGTACTTTAGAGTATTATTCAGATTTATTTTAGTCATCAGTGTGTTAAAATGTTGTCAATTTTATGAATTGTTTGGTGAAAACTTTAATATGATCCTGAATCTGAGATGCATCCAGAGAGAAGAAAATTGAAGAAACTCTGTGGACAGACTCTACGTTAGCCTCTAGGGGGGATTTGGTGGGAGCTATAAGCGTAAGCTGAACCTTGGGCACTTAGCAAACATCAGGACCTTATGGATTTGAACTGCTTAAGCAGTTAGGCACAGTGCTTTCTCTGCCAGTTGTAGACAAAGGTGGGAATTAGTGAAATTTAAGCACTTAAGTCATTTTTGGAACTTAATGGAAGTATCTGAAGATTCCAACTCAGGTTACCAGCCTTCAAAAAAACCCAATTATTTAGTAGTTCTACAAAGAGAGAAAAATCCTCTGTATATCATTACAAGCTCTTTTGATAGATCTTTTTCCTCTGTCTCCTTTCCTCTTTCAGTGATTAGAAACTAACTGCACATCCCAAACATCTGTAGGCAGAACTGACTCTATCCACTTATAGACTAAGTCCTCCTATGCAGCAGGGGACTGAACTGTGGAACACTACTGGTTTCACATCATTCTTTGTCTTCAGATACAAGAACTAGTGGAATCAGGCAGATACTCAGCAGTTCTCATAGTGAGCATGGTATCTCCAATTGGCTTTTCCCCAGCTGTACTCCTACACTGCTTCGGTGAAGGTGTAAGCACATGGAGTTTCTGCAGAGAGGGTCTGTGAGCTGTCGGAAATTTACTAAGCCACCCTTCTCCGCCTTACCAGCCAAAGTGTGCCTGCTTTCTCTCTCTCTCCTCCCTGTAGGAGTGTTGGAAATACAGACTGACTCTCTGGTGAGAGAGAAATGAAGGACAAACTGAAGTTACTTCTCAGAAAGTTGTAACACCCAGTGGATACAAATAGCTAAGGTCAGAGTCTGGCCTTAAAGTATTATAACATAAATAAATACATAGCTTATATGAAATTTGTTAGGATACAAGGTGTGAGGTGAGTTACACAATAAAGGGGAAATTCGATAGAGGGAATCATTGAAAGCAGAATAGAAATGACTAGATGGTAGCTAGTATATGAAATAGTCCGTTCGTCTAAAGTAGCATAAGGTTGGAAGATCCAATATTAATTAAAATGTTTGCTCCTTCTGTCACTGAAACTCTAAGAGCTGTTAATGCAATGGAGAAATGGCTCAAAGAAGCATGTAAGAACAATACTGCCACTTGTCCAGCCTCTGGCACCAAATCATGACACCATGTAGCGGAGAGACAATCAACAGAAGATAGTTTCGGAAATCCTTTTATTTTTTGATATCCACCCTACAACTGGTAAGGGATAATCTGGGAGAAATTTGGTGTTGTCAGGGACAGAGGAAGTACTACTCTTCTAAGACTGCAGAAGAGGCAAATGCCAGCCTTGGCTTGCCAAAGGCAGCAAAAGAAACAAGATACTGATATATTTACAGTTTAAGGTATGGGGTCTGTTCTCCAGCCTCTACTGCAAATAGTGTCTCTCTCAAATCTACCATTATTAGCCCATGCTGTTTGCAAGCATTCAAGACATTTCAGTGCTAAAACGTTGCAGTTTATTTTTTTTAAACCCCATAGAGACAAAAATTCTATATCATGAATTAAATTACTTACTTAGCTCGTACTTATGTAAAATATTAGGGACTAAAATAGGTTCCACATTTGCTAACGAGTACATAATTTGACCTGAATAATCTCTATAACTAGATGATGATGTACAAGAGGAAAGGGCTCAACTTGATACATGTTTGGCAGACTTTTTAAAACCTGTAATAAGAAAAGACTTACTCTGCATAGATTTTATCTGAAATCACAGGTGGTAGAAGAGGAGAAGAACCTTGAACTTATTAAGTCCCTTTTTAATGATTGTTTCAAAGTTACTGGAAGGCCTGAATCAGGTATTAAAATTATTACCACCTTTCACCATCCATTGTCTGTTCCTTCCTAAAAATTTTCTGCAGCTGTCTGTGCTCATATGAACGGAAGGGTTTGTGTTACTTTGTCAGGTATCTTCAAAAGACTTTATAAAGAAAACTTTCCATTGATCTCAGAAATAACAAGAACTAGAATATATCACACCCCGAAGGCTTTAAAAAGATGATCATTTCGCATGCTAAAGATACACCCTGCTATTTGTGTTGTTTTATGTTGAATTATCTCTTCATTTCAGAGACAAACATGACTGTCTCATAAGGTATTGTCTGCACAGTTCCAGTGTCCTTTTAGTTCTCTATTAGCTACCATGATACTGCATGGCATAAAATGCAACTTATAAGGTATACTCGACAGAAACAGAAAAATTCATTGATCGTTACATGATTCAGGAACGCTTTATTCACCTTGTTTATTCCAACAATGAATTCTCAAGAGCTTCTTCTAAAACCCAGAGATACATTTCAGCCTCTGTTTTCGCCTTCCACTTCATTTTAAGCACATGTGTTGTTCAAGATGACTCCTTAGCAGGATTACAGTCTACCTCAGCAAACAAGGTGCAAGCAGTACAAAGGGCAAAAAGGTGGGAAGGAAAAGAGAACAGAGCCATGACTGCAAATTTCTTTCTCGCAAAGGCCAATAGAACTGACTGTTTACTTCAGGTATAGGAGAGCATCTCTTGAAGATATAAAGTGACACAAGGCAGGACCATGTTCATAGCTCAGTTCGTTCCTCAGTAAATTTGGCTCTAACCTCAGCAGTATGAGCTGGATCCAGAGCTTGCCCTTACTGCTGCTGGTCTACCACGTTATGTGGAGCAACTAGTCATAGCTCACCTGCTACTAGCAGCAACAATAGCTATCTCATCTTATGCAAACAGCTGTCATCTCTCTCTTCGTCCCTCTAGCAAAAGTGGTTGTCCAAGTCCACTCCTATATTTGCCACAGAATAGTGGGCTGTCACTATAGTACGGAGTAGGAATAGGGTCTTTGTGCTACTGTTAGAAAGGCGGGCTACTGCTGCAGCAGGGGTGGGAGCAGAGGACAGTAGCTTTTGCTATTGCTGGAAGAAGCACTCTCTCAGCTCTCTAGCGGGCAGCTGATGACACCAAGCTGTTCAAATGTCTGACATCTTCTCTGGGAAAAGGTGTCAAACTGGATGAAGTTTTTGACATTAGCTGGACAAAGCTTCCTTAGCGTTTTTCCCATTTACAAAGAGCACTTGAATGTTAGTGTTCCTTATAGCATATAGGGAATTGAATAGAATTAATCCGAGACTGTGTTATGAAGTCTTTTACTTAATAGTTGTGTTCCTCTTTAGACTTTCGAATCAGGAGAGATTCCAGCTAGCTTCCTTTTTGATAATTTCTCTGCTTATAATGAGTAGCCACATGAAATAATGACAGGTGATGGCATTTAGAGTTCGTATGGTACCTAGTACAGAGGGAGCGTGGCCTATGAGCAGCAATTGTTTGTGCCACAGTACATAAAGTAAACGATGGCTGTGTGACAGTTTGCTCCCTGTATTGGCTCTAGTGTTTAATATGAACACAGAGTTTCCTGTAAAAACCAAGAGGTACCTTCAGTTCTTCAGATGAAATGTTTGTCATCTCGCCTCCTCTTGTCATTCATTGACTATACTGTATTCATTCTATATGCTGTCTCTTCATCTAAGAAAATATTTATTAAATTAAATGAAGTATTCATAGTAATCCTTGCAGTTTGAATGTCTTATTTATAATTTAATGAATTACGGGTGTATCAATAATCAGTTATGGTTGCATAAGCATGTGCTTGCTGGAGACTGTTTGCTATCAGTTATTTGGATGAAATGCTAAGGATAAAAGCCTGGAATGTTACGTTAATCCTACCAAACTAATTCACTGCTTAGAATCTTAATTCTCATAAATCTGTAAATAACATAAAGTGTAAGTCTTAAGTCTTAGGTACAATGTGGAGGGACAGCATTCTTATGGAGGTCACTTTCAACCCTACTTTGTAAGTACTTTGCCATACTTATGGTAAATCTCCAAAGAATTTCCTTGTTTGCCATTTTACTTATCTTCTTGGCAAGGGTACAGAACACATCCAGTATCTGCGGTTAGCACAAACAATTAAGTAAATTTCTTTATTTTTATAACTGGCATTGTCTTAATGTCAAAGACATTCAGCTAGTGCCTATAACATTGCTACTTAGACACTATAGAAACTTGGTTCAAATCGAGCTGTACCTGAGGAGAGAGGCCTTTTTTCTAGCAGTTGATATAGAGGCTACTATGCGTTTTAATTTATGTAACTTTAGCATTATAACAACAGAATATTGTCTCATAAATATTGCTGAATGTGCATTAGATATAATTGAAGGAGTTATTTTTGTTTATGATGAATCTTTGCTGCTGAGTGTTATATGAAATGGACTACTTAGAGTCAATACATCAAGTATCCCATGAAAAAAAGCCCTTTTTCACCTGAGTGACACTTGAGTTCTAGGATTCTGAGGATTTTGAAACTCTTGAGAATTATGAAGTTATATGCACCAAAAGCCACATATATTAAAAATGGATCTAATACTGTACATAACCTAACTTGTCAAATTGTTATGCCACTTCAAATGAGCACTGTCTATGTTGAGCTTAGAGTTTAGGCCATGTGGATGATATGCTACTGAAAGCAACTGATTTAAATAGCCAAGCAATATTCCATAATATAGATCTCTCTCTCTCTCTGTATGTATCCTATACAACATACAATATTCTATATTGTACAGCATTTATAGACAATGGCTTATTTTTCAAACTTACTGTAATTGCATTTAAATACTACCTCAAATTTTAAAATTCATGTGTAGTGCTACCCATTAGTAGATAGACCTATCAGATTTTTTTTTTGTTGTAGAAAGTCTCAGTTATTGCTAAAAAGACTCCTGTCCTACAGCTTTAGTGTTTACTAATTAGCAAAAAAAAAATCTTCAGCAAACAAGAGAGCAATAAATAAATAAATCAAGTAGGGTTAAAAAGTGTTAAGCAACATACAATCAGGAGAAAAGTTTTATCATTTCCTCAATTATTTCTATGTCAAAATGTTTGGGAAGTGCTCGTATTGAAGTGATAGCAACATATATATAAACCACATGTTACAGAGTACTTAAAACTGATGCAATATCACATGTATCTGTACAGACCTTTGCAAAATGAGGCTATATTTATTTATGCCTATCCTGCTACAAAATTAGGAAAATAGGGCTGCCAATGCACACACGTATGTCCTTAGTGAGAGAAAACTCGATCTTCCACTGTAAATCCAGACGTTTGCAATGGCAAGCGGCAATTTAGGCATCTAAGCCAAGAAGGAATTGCAAGAATAAATCAAAATGGTTATCATGCCTGTACCTTTCATAAAACCAATCTTTAAAAAATCCTATAAAATGTTTATTGAGAACTACTGCAGGCCTACTGACAGTCTCTGAGGTTCCGCACCACTGATTATAAACTATTGCTAACTGATGAAATATTGCACTGGTGAAGACCCTTGAAGACTGAAATCACATTTGCTTGCTCTGTGCCTGCCTCAGCTGTGGAAAATGATGCTTATGAGATGAAACTCTAAGAAGTCATAAAAAACACATTCACAAAGTCTCTTCATTTATGAACTGTCCTAATGATATGGGAAGCCAAAATGTCAACTGTGATATATGCGGCTAGTAATAGTGAATCTTTATCTGCCACCTGTACTTTATCAAATGAACATTAACTTTTTCCTTCTGTCATTTTGACTCTTTTATTCTATTTTATTTCCAGATTTTTGATGACCAACATGTTCTATGGAGGCTCCGCTAGAAACTGGTCCACTTTAGAGTCAGTTGAGATTGTACAGGATGACGAAAAGTTTGCTAAGTTTAATGTTTCTGTCATCTCTGCTCCTGCAGAGTATTCATTTCATTGTCAGCTGGTGGGAACAAGCAATCTCTATCCTGCAAAGCTGATTCCATCCAACAATGAAGCAAAAAACTGGGATGTTTTCATTTCCAGGTTCCAAGTGAGTACATATTGCCACTTCAGAGATAATTCCAAGAACTATTATTTGCTATTGTAGGTGCTGAATGGCATACATTCATAATGCCCTTACTTTCATTTCAATCTGAAGGAAAACGTAAAAGAAAAGCTCTTCCCCCTAGGTGAGCTATTCAATAAGGGGGAGAAGAGAAGGCAGTTGTTGAACAATAGGAATGTGAAAGCACAGCTGTGAAAAACAAAAAAGCTATGAAGTTGTCCACAGAAAAGAAAAACCAATAAAACCAAATGCGCTTAATCAGGCAAAGAATGACTAAGTCCCCATGCCAGTTTAATGAATTGGGCTGCTATTGGAAACACGGACCTCTTAAGTGGGTGGCTTTATGCTGCTTACTTTGTTTTTATTTGATTTCTTTGCACTTTGTTTACCTAGGAAAGTACGGCTTAGTGTGGTTATGGTTTTCAATAACATAGAGCGTCTGAACTCCTACAGAGAGAAACAAAGCCCAGTGCAATTAGATTTAATGGAAGGTTTGCCATTAACTTCAATTGGGAGCAATATTAGGTCCCACATGGCCCGGAGGGAAAGCAGTTTGCTCTTCTTTGAATGAGATACACATTTTCTGTGTAAGTAGTGCGGTAGTGCACACCACGTATGTGAGGTGTAGATGACTACTTCTTTATTATTTTGAGCATTGATCTTTGTTTAGGAGGAATACATCATCATTAATATCTTAAAACACACCAGAACACATCAAAGAGATCATAGAACTGACAGGGATAATTCCAAGCCAGACTCTTATTCGTCAGAGATGATCTGACCCCAATGTTAGCTGGATACAAATGCTAGTACAGTTATATTTAGGATTTGGATACCAAACGACCTCAGTGATCTGAATGCGTATTTGGCATTTCTGCTTAAACAATGGAAATCTCAAAGAAACAGCACTGTTGCTGACATTTATTTCCTCTCCTACTACCCTTAGCTGCTTACTTGCATTGCAGAATCAGAATCTAAAAGAAGATGGAGTGCAAAAAAATGAAGAACTGAAATAGCAGCAAATTGAATATCTTTAATCATTATTAAGTCACATGGAAACACCAGACCTAAGTATCTCTGGCAGCCTTCCTTAGGAATCATTACTTTTTGTCTTCCCCTTTCTGCAAAAAGGGGATTTTCATGCAGAAATCCACAGAGTCCAAGACCAAGTCTCATAGTTTTTGAGAAAATACATAGTGGTAGACACCAATGTTGTGAAGGTTCTCCCTGATGATTGTTTATGGTAAGTCCTGAAAAAATTCTGAGTCCACATGGCTGTACTTTGTGTAAACTCTTTGAAGTGTGAAGCGTAGCCTTTGGCATAATAAGGTACATAGGGGCTATGAAGTGTCCACTTAAAACAACCTATCACTTTCTTACAGTTTCTATACACATTGATACTGTTACCTTCTCGAAGCCTTAGACAGAGGCTTTGCTCCACCCTGAGCAGGCATCCTTTCATTGGGTTCTCGATCAAGAGCAAGAATTAACAGGATTCCCAGCTTGCTTACTGTTTTGGAGCAGCAGCTTCTTCCACTGCTCTGAGTTCCTCTTTGGGAGGGCCTTTTTCTCACACCAAGTCCTAGCCATGAAACACAATCTGAAAAGTCCTGTTCTGATCATTTCTGCATGAGCCAACTGGAAAGTCACCATTTGGAGCCACTTTTTAAGCATTATCTGAACTAGAGCATGCCTTTCTAGATTCCTTCCACTGATAACATAGTTACATCCAAATGACCTCAACTCATTCAGCCGAGATGTCAGTCTTTGTCTTAAAATGAGGTGTGGAAACCCTCAAGCTCTGTTGCAAGATAAAGCAGCCAATAGTGAACTGATGTGCTCAGCGACTACAGAATCTGGTTACTGACATGGAGGAACATGTTTTTCATGTTAAAAACATTTAGCAGTGAATTAGAAAATGGGTTCCAGTGCCAATCTAGCTGATACTATTGCACTTTACTAACTTGGGTCCTGAAAACAGTATTGCTATATCAGAGGGACATAGAACCTGCACAGCTAAACCCTGTATAACTTTATTGCAGAGCTACTGAACTGATGTAGCTGTTTACTGTTCACGGTCTAGCTCACTCACTGCCACTAAAGGAACTTTTATAGCGCGCTCTCTAGGCATGCCCTTGGCCTAGGATGTCACCACTCACAGATGCATACGGTACCAATGCTGCTGTGTTTTTCTGTGGGAGGAATGAATATTCTGCAATGATACCGCCTGTCCTTTTGAGGATCCCAGAGTAGTCTATGAAATTAAAAAGGAGGCTACCATGAGGCGCTGCTTTTCTTTAGTATGTGTCAAACTAAAGATGGAGGATCTTATCGATGTGTATAAATAGCTGAAGGAAGGGTGTAAAGAAGACAGAGGCAGACTCTTCTTTCTGGTGCCCAGGGACAGGACAAGAGGCACTGAGCACAAACTGAAAAACTGGAAGTTCTGTCTGAATCTAAGGAAAAACTTCTTTACTAGGAGGGTGACTGAACGCTGGAATAGGTTCCCCAGAGAAGTTGTGGAATCTCCATCCTTGGAGATGTGTAAAAGCTGTGTCGACACGGTCCTGAGCAGCCTGCTCTAGGTGACCATGCTTGAGTAGGACAGCTGGACCAGATGATCTCCAGAGGTCGTTACCAACCTCAGCCATTCTTTGATTCTCTGATTCTTTGATATTTGTTTAGAAGCCTCTTTGTTCTTTAAAGAAACTGCCCAAAACTTTGAAGCCAAGAATTGCAGAATTTTTTGAGGCTAAAATACTTCAAATTTTAGTAATTAGACGTAGTGTACCTTTAAGGGCAGTAAAACAACAGGGCTTTTACTTGAAGGCTTTATAAAAGGTCAAGTGCTGAGGCAATTCCCATCAAAAAAATAAACAAATTAGCAGGAAATGTAGACTACTATAACTGAGACAAATGATGCTGGTCCAAACACTAAAATTAAACCCTCCACAACACAAAGAGGTCTTTATCAGATGAAAAGACTTGTATATGCATTAAAATTAAAGAACCACATTTAAGTATTTTTAACTTTCCATAGGTAGAAATGCTGCTAGAAGTCACATTTTTATCTCCCAGCTGGGATCTAACACTCCCACAGAAATGATAAAGCTTCAGAAAAACAATAAAAGAACCCTTAATATACTTCATCTCCTTCCTAAAATGGAGTCATAGCATTTTAAGAATGCACAATTAAAGCTTTTACCTGAAAGGTTCAATAAACATAATCCCACTTGAAAAAAAAAATTGACCTTAAAAAAATCAGAAGTGGTAAAGCCTTCCTAAACCAAATATACCTGTTAAGTGCCTCTGAGAGTTCTTGTAAATGTGGTAACAAGAGTCTATTGTTTTTCGAAACTTCACTTTTTTCTGTGAACGAAAATGGCATGAATCATCACCCATTTTCTATGTATTTTTTTAATATAAGTCTTTCAGACTACATTTCATTACTCCTATTCATATTTCCATCTGTTGCCTAAATAGTGGCGTAACCAGCAAAGGCCTTGGTAATCACCTGTAGGCTCTAAAACCGTGTGCAAATAGTTATCCAACCCAAAAGTTTATTTTCTGCAATTGTACCTTAATCAGAACTCTGTGACTGCCTATAGTGGAAAGCAGACCATATTTGCAAGTTAACTATCATGATAAGACTCGGCGAGATTCTTGCAAGAGGCCCAGGAAAGCCTGTATTGCCACGATTATCTTTAATTATATCCTTGTACACCTGTCTTCACCATAGTACCTTCATATAGCCCTCAGGGGCTAGTTCTGCATATGGCAATAGCTGTGTTAATCAGCATTTTGGAGGGAATAAAGACATTGCTTTTAACACGCATATTGCATACACATTGACTTAAAGGTGCCTGAGCCACAAGTGAACTCAAACCTGAAAGGCTTAATGACATAGCATTGTATGCAAGCCAAAGACCAATTTCTTCGCTGTTTGCACCAAAACCTTTCCTTGGAAGTACAAATTCTGTTTTATTACCTCAAAGTTATCCAGTTTATTCATCATAAAGCACGGAATAATCACCATGTAGGAATATATACAAGTAGAAATCCATAATCTTCTGCTTCATCACTTACTGCTTGGTGAGGGGAGTGATTTAAAAGAAATATTTTTATAGAAAACAGTTTTAAGGTTTACTAGTGCATTTATGATGTTTGGTGCTTTCCTTAAGTACCTATTTCAAGGAATCTGTAAACACATAAGAATATCAGCCTTTATTTTTATTTTAAAGTGATTTAAGAAAAGCTCAAAAACATCTCCAGGATCAAACTAAGTCAGCCAAACAGGTCATCAATCATTAGATGCATTTCAAAGTAGGCTTCAGGAGTTCTGCTGTTAAAAATCTTCTGCTACTTAAAAATCGCAGGGTATTTCAACAGATTTCATGATTTGGAGAGCTTTAACTGACATGTTTTTGAGTGCTTTGAGTTTCCTGATTTTGAAATGGTTCATTGAGCTCATCTGATTTCACATCCCTTTTGGAACTTTTAAAAGTAGTCCAAATTTCTGAAGTGGGAAATACAACCTTGCTTTTGTGCGCTGCACAAGTAACTCATGCATCTTTACGTTTCTAGGAGAAAGAGGGAACAGGAAAATCACTGTGCAAAGGACTTGATTCTGAGTCTTTTTTAATGGGCTGAGTGTGAGTGGTAATTAACAGGTGCAGTTTTTGTAACGACCAAATACATCCTGAAAGTAGGGTCTGTGCTGTACATTTATTTGCATTTATCTTTTTTGCATTCTCAGATTCAAGGCTTCAACATTGAAAACAGCCAATTTTCCTATGCAAGCGACTGTACAAGTTTCTTCAGTCCTGGAATATGGATGGGCTTGGTGACATCTGTGGTTCTGCTGTGGATCCTCGCCTATGGAGTCCACATGATCATGCAGCTCACAACAAACAGTAGATTTGACGATCCCAAAGGTCCAGCTCTGTCAGTTCCTCAGACAGAATAGCAGCGAAATGCCTTCTTCAGCTTTTCCTGGTCTGATATTTAGTTTTATAAAGCTTTCTACTTTATAATAAATGTAACCTAAAGAGATACCATAGCAGAAAGGGATAATTAAACTAGATAAAAAAGAATCCTTTTGCTTGGAAACAATAATAGTTCTATGTGCTATTACCTCAGTTTGTTAATAGTTATCTTTGATAAAACTCTGAGGTGAGACCCTAGAAGTTATTACTCTATCCAGCTACGAGAAAGACCAGTAAGAACTTCTAACAGATTAAATATTATTGGCAAAGAAAGGATATCACAACAGAGATACCCTGGAAGGATTTATAAATTATTTATTCAGTAAGACACTATATATATATTGAAACCACTGAAGTCTCTTTAAGTGGTCTTCAATAAGCATAGCATGTTAATGCCACAACTTAAGAAACCTGAGCCGCCTTGTCAGTTTTTTTCCTGAGAAAACCATTCAGAAGTTCAGAGAACTAATAAAAGTACAAGTCACTAAACCAATTGATCTTGGGAAGTTTTTTCAAAATACATCACATTATTCAAATATGGTATCACAAATGAGAAAGGGTAAACTAAGGCTCATCTTCCCTCTAAAGTCATCTTATGCCTCTAAGAATTATGCTGAGTACACTGACTAATATGTTTTGTTTTAGCCACGGGCAGCTGATGGAGTTACTAATCAAGACAGGTCCCTGACCAAACTGGCCACAAAGTTGTATTTAACATCATGATAATTAATGCAACTGTTGAAGCTCATAACCAGTTCCAGGGCAGACAGTACCTTAAAAGAGATAAGGTAATGTTCATAATATTCCTCCTTTTCTGGGTATCTTTGGGGTAGTTTTGAAGTTAGTACAAAAAAACCCTCTGTGTGTGTGTATGTATCTATGAATATGTGAGTGTTTGTGTATTTATGTATATATACTTACATATAAAGTCATTACGAAAAATATTGTGCTAATGTGCTGATAAAATCTGAGCGTGTTTATGGTGATCCTGGTGATTTCAGAAGCCTGAACACATTCAGGCTGAGTTTGTACTGAATTTTTTGGCAATTTAATAAAGACACCACATCCTCTCATCGGGCAATCTGAATACAGAGTGATTTACTAAATATTATGAAAAACTATTTGCTGTCACAGAGAATTAAGTGTTTGAGTCAATGTCTGTCTAACATGTTTTCAAGTCATATTTTGGTTAAAATTAATGGTTTTTTGATTCTTGTCATGTTGATTTTTGATTTAGAAAAAAATGGGAAATTATTTTCAATGACTATTATTATTTTGAAAGTTATAAGAGGGTATGTGAAATAATAAAATACCATTTTCATTCTTTCTTCTTTAATGTTTTGACTGATTTGTTCTATTAGTAGTTAACAGAATAAAAAGATACCAATTGGTCACATGAGAAAAATTCTAACTTTTGTGATCTTGATCCGTGTCATAGGACAATGATACAGAGAAATGATGGTTAGAACCAACTATCTAACTAAACCAGCAATAATCTCTACACATCATTGCTGGATGACATGTTTTTATTACGCACTCAAAGAAGTAAATTAAACGTTCTCTGAAGCTGTTCCTTCTGAATTGCTCAATCCTGACCTGGAAAACAAAAGGGACACTGGCATGAAACTAGGAGAGGTGACTCCAGTGCTTTAATATTTTTCGCAGATGTTATTCAAAATCTTGAGGAATACTGTAGTTTGATCTATACAAGAATGTTGTGTTAGAAGGCACTTCTTCTTTGCAAAAATTAGTTGTCATGGGAGACAACAGGACTTATTTTATTATTTCCCTTTTCAAAGCAAGTTATATGAATGTGACTTAACCGAAAATTGACATAAAAGTAGTGTAACTGAAAGAAGAGAGGATTGAGAAAAAAAAAGGTCTTGGTTTGTAGAAGACAGCTTTCTTATGACCTTTATCCAGAATCAGCAAAATTTGGAACAGATTTTGTTCAGTAGTGATGGAATATAAGAACTGAAGAACTACTGTACAATGAAAAGGCCACTGAGCTCAGTATCCTGTATGCAGCAGCAGTGTGAGTACAGCAAGTGTATAACAGGACTTCCTGCAGACCTTCTCCCAGCCTACACCACTGAAGCTTACAGACTTCCTTAGCCAAAGGTGGTGTTTTCATATATAATAACTCTAGGTGGATTTATTTTCCATGAATTTGTCCAGCCCCCCCGGGCTCTTCTGGAGTTTACAGAGTCCTGACTGTTGTACGGCACTGGGTATACATGTATACTCCCTTTCGTGCCTGGACTGGGCTCTGGGGAAGGGGAGGAGGAAACAGGATCTCGGAAGGCTATACCCTTAGGGAAGAGACTGGCCTCTTTCAGAAGATAACAAGTCAGATGGAAGAGATGTTTGTTGGACAAGTTTTCTGTTGGTGCAGTAAAAGCCACAGAAAAGGGCCAGACTGAGTCTGCTGTATTTAATATTGCACTTTCTAGGGGGAAAGGGAAGGTGGTTTGCAGGGGGTAAAAGATTTTTACTTCTAGCCTCCTTCATGACAGTGATAGTATGAACACTTTGACAAATAGCTATAGCCCGTAGGGAGGTGGGGGATGTATAATCTATTTCTATAGTAAGTTGGGTTATCCCTGTCACCTTTAGGGTTGTGATGTAAACCCTTTAGGGTTGTGACTCAAGCCATGTGCCATAGCCCTGGACGCAGCTGCATTACTCTTGTGGGGCCTGTTCTCGCAAAGAGAGCAGAAAAGGGTGCTGCGTGTACTGGTGCACTGCAGCTGCAGCCATCCCACCCATCCTGTGGGCTGGCCAGGGCTCTAGGGACCACGGCCTGTCCCTGTTACAAGTGGGTGAGCTAGCTGGCTCTCTACATTAGGGCTGTGTGAACCGCCTGAATCCAACTGCCTTCATCAGCC